GGAGTCAACGAGAGACCCCCCCGCAGTAGCTCCTCTAGGGTGGCGGGAGAAGATGCGCGTACCGGCGCCTCCTCTCCCCCAGCCGACGGCGACGAAGAGGGTCTGCTAAGGCGTTAGCCTCGCGTTCCCTCTCCGCCGTCTCCTTCAGTGAGATGACGGCCTCGCTGAAAGGAGACCATCGCCGACCAGGACCTCTCGTCGCGTAGCATGGCCCCCACCACGCTTCGCAACGACAGGTCTCCACCCACTACCCGCCATCAGGGCATGGCGTGGGGAGCCCAAGCGGCGCATACCGCGAGGGTGTGGTGCGAGGTGTCCTCGGACGCACCACACTCGTGGCATACGGGCAACGGTTCCCGACGCGCAATTTGACACAGATACTTACCAAAGCACCCGTGCCCGGTAAGCATCTGCGTCAACCTGAACGTCAGGACGCCGTGTGGCCGCCTGACCCAGCGAGACAGGAACGGACGAACCGCCCCCACCGTCGCCCGGCCAGCCGCTGGAGTCCCCAGGTCTTTCCCACCAGCGCCGGATCAGTGCCTCGTCAGCTAGGCGCCTGATCCGAGCGACTCCCTCCCGCGCTGGACGTTCCCCTCGCGCCCGCTCACTCGCCCGAAACCGATAGACTTCGGCGAGCACCTCCGCCTGGAGTTCCCAGGGCGGATCGCCCGCCAGAAGTGTCGCCGCCGTGAAGGACACCGTACGGTATCCCCGTATCGCCCTCACCGCCAGGACCCGTTGCGCCCTTGCGCAGTTGGGCCCTGTTCTGTGCGGAGAGGGCGTCCATCCAAACGGGGGCACCGTACAGTGCCATGGACCTCACGATGCCGGCATAGAGCCGCCGGCAGTGAGATCCAGGGCCCCCGACATTCGGCAGAAGTCTGCCGAGGGCCGAGGCGGCGCCGATCAGTCTCGGGGTGAGCTGGGCGAAATGGACACGAAACGTCCAGCGTCCGTCCAGGGTCAGGCCCAAGTAGCGCATATGGGCCCGAACCTCCACCATCCTACCCTGGACTCGCAGACAGGCGTTGCGGGGGGGCACCCCTGCGTGGGCCATGAACAGGGAGGGCCTCCGTTTTGGAGACGGAGACCCTCAGGCCCAGCATCCCTATCCGGTCGGGCGACCAAGGTTGGTGCCGACTGTGGCCAAGCGTGCCGCCTCCTCGTAAGAACGCCCCCGGGCTGTGACGAGGGTGTCATCAGCGTAGGCGATGACACCAAGCCCGGGGAGAAGCGGACAACGCAGGAGCCAGTCATAGCCGAGGTTCCACAGTACCGGGCCCAAAACGGCCCCTTGTGGCACCCGCAGTCGACACGTCGACGACCGACCACCCCATCTGCCCCCGTCCACACAACCTGTCTGTCGCGGAGGTACGCGTCCAACACCCGCCGGAGATAGAGAGGCACCCCATGGTACCGAAGTGCCTCTCGTAGCGTCTCGAACGGCAGGGTGTTGAAGGCGTTGGCCACATCCAATGAGACGGCTAACAGCACGCCTCCCTCCTCCACCGCGGCCAAGGACCGAACCTTCAGGGCGTTCAGGGCGTCCACGGTCGACCGACCCGCCCTGAACCCGAACTGAGCCTCGAAAGGCCCGGCCCCACCTCCTCGAGATGCTGAGTAAGACGGGCAACGAGAATTCTCTCGAAGAGCTTGCCCATCTCACTCAGCATCACGATCGGCCTGTATGCCGAAGGGGAGTCCAGAGGACGACCCTCCTTGGGCAACAGGCACAGCAACCCCTCCTTCCAGATCTTCGGGAACTGCCCAACGCGAAGACAAGCGTTGAAGAGGTCCCGAAGATCCCCTCCCAGGTATTCCAGGGCGATGCACAGAACTCGCCCCGGAATACCGTCCGGTCCCGGAGCCGTCCGTTTGGCCCGCAGTTTATCGCAGGCCAATTCCATCTCCCCCTCGGTGATTGGAGGGAATTCCTCCACTCCCACAGAGCGTGTGGGAGGAGCCATCACCGGGGGGACGTGCCCAGACGACTCCGGGAACAACCCTCCGATCAGTCGCAGGAGGACCTCGGGCGGCGTGGTCTCCGTGACCGGGGCGCCATGCGCGCGGAGCTTGTTCCGCGCGCTGATGTAAGGGCGCCCCCATGGATCCCGATCCAGGCCCGCCAGCATTTCCTGGCGGGCCGCCGCCTTGGCCTGGCTGATGGCGAGCTGCAGGGCCTTTTTGGCTGACCTGTAGGCCGCCCGCAGCTCGCTCTCCAAAACCGGGTCCAGGCCATTCCTCCTGCGACACCGGACAAACCTCCGTCTATGCCAATTACAGGTCGCCCGAAGCTGTGCGATTTCGGGCGACCACCAATACACAGACCGGCGACGCCGGTCGATCCGCCTGATCCGCGGCATGGCCGCATTGCACACCCTCGTAAGGGCGTCGCACATGCGGCCAGCCCAGCTCCCTCAACATTGGAGCTGGCGCCCACCACACTCCCCTGGGAGCACCATGCTTCTACGATGGCCGCCTCCTTGGCCAGCTCAGTATCAAGCCGGCCCAGGGCCCATCTCGGGAACGCTCGAGAGGGCCCCCTTGGGCGGTCCACCGGCACCGGACGGGTGGAGATCTCAAATCGGATATAATTATGATCCGACAGAGTCTCCACCTCCTCCTCTACCCTCCAGTTGATCACCCTGCGTGCGACGGCGGGGGTGGCGAAACGTTAGGTCCACCACGGACCCCCCCTGCTGTCGCACGCACGTGAACGCTGTCCCCACATTGAGTAGGGACAGACCGGAGAGTAGGGCCCACGTCTGAACGGCTCGCCCTCGGAGCGTTCGACGTGGGATTCCCCCAGGCCAAGGACTTGGCATTAAAGTCGCCGAGGACGATAGTGGGCCTCGGCGACTGCCTGCAAACCGCAGCGCGGACGGAGTCGAGGAAGATCTCGAACTCCGCCAGACTGCGGTTGGGGGAGAAGTACACGGCGACCACCGCGTACTCTCCCCACCCCTGCCACGACAAGTCCTTGGCCCCTCTCGATTGCCGAGAGACGGGGGCCGGTGCTGCTCCCAGACACTATGGCCACGGAGCCCTCTAAGTCCCCCACCCAGTTCGGTCGGTGAGGAACAAAGTAGGGCTCACAGGCCACCGCCAGACCTATCTCCCACCTCCCACTCGGCCATGGACTGCAGGAAAAGGTCCTGCGCTCCGGCCGAGTGGTTCAGATTCCCTTGTAGGAAGCGCTTGTCGTCACCCATTATGACGACATATGCGCTTCCTCAGCCTGGCGGCTTCCGGCACTGACGACAGCTCCGGTCCCTAGAGCCGTCTTGCCTTTCGTGATGGGTGGGTTGCAGTCTCGCCCACCCATCATATGCCCAGAGGGGCGCCCGGCATCTGCGCAGACCGCGCAGCGGACTGCCTTCGCGGTGCAAGGCAGCGGAATGGTGCTCATCGCTGCCGCACCGGAAACACAGGCGCCCCCGCTCCACCCTCGACGGGCACCGAGGTAGAGTATGACCCAAACCCATGCATCTGAAGCAGCGTAATGGGCGCTGCTCCAGAAACCTCGACCTTGGCCGACGACCACCCGACCAGGAGTCGGCTTGCGTCGGCCACTTTTTTTAGCTGCCGTAACTGGGCACCTTACGACAGCCGTGCCCATCCCCCTTTCCCGGTGTGGACCCGGCTCACCCAGACGGCCTCTGATGAGCAGCCGCCCGCCCTTGCGACCGCCTCGGCCACCGCCTCCTTGGTGACCGAGTCGTCGAGGCCCCACACCCTCAACTCTCCCGTTTTGGTGGGGCGCGCAATGGTCGCCACCCCATCCAAAACCTGGCGGAGCTTCTCCGCCAGCCTGTCCGCTGTCTCCGGTGACGCCGAGGCTTCGAGCTCCAGCAAACGTGCCCCCGTTGCCGCAACCCTGACCGTCAGCCCCCCCGTGACTCCCAACTGGGCCAGGTCAACGCCCTGCCGCGCGCGCTCCAGCAGCTTGGCGTAGGTGACGCCCTTAGCCGCCGCCTCCTGCTGGAGCGTTATAATAACCGCCGCTGTACGCGGCGGGGCCGAAACCTTGGGCTTAGCCGGCGCCGAAGGGCCTTTTGCACCACAGGCGCCTTTGGCGCCCGAAGAGGCCTTTGGCGCCGACTTTGCGCCAGCCGGGGCAGCCGGGGCCGCAGGGGGGGAGGACTTCTTCCCCTTTCCCTTGCCCTTGCGGACCACCGTCGCCCACGTGTCATCACCGGCAGTACTCGGTCCTGCCACAGGGGCCGGAGGAGCGGTCCCGCCACAGGGGCTGGTGGAGCTGGTTCCGACCTAGGGCGCACCGGGGCTGCCGTCCCATCCACATTGGGCTGACGCCTGCGCGTCGCCGAACCCTCGCCCGCCACAGCCGCTACCGGTGCTGGCGTGCTATGAGGCACCCTCGGCGCAGGCTTAGGTGCAGATGCACCTGCCTCCTTTCTTCTGTCCGCTGCCAGAGGCGGACGATGCGACCTGGCCGGCAGCAGGCGTTCCTCAATGCCGGGCCAGTTTGGCATCCATGAGGGCCCCCAACCGAGGAGATAAGAGAGGCCCTCAATCCTCTAAAACATCCCCCTGCAGGGAGGAGGACGGCGCACTCGCCCTCATCTCCGAGAACTGTCGACGGTGCGCCTTAACCTCCGCCTTCAGGTTCTCCACCTCCTTGCGCAGCCGCTCATTGTCGGCAGCCACCTTCCTCGTCTCCTCATTCGAGGAGCGATCCGCCAGGGCGTCCACTATCCCCGTCAGGGCCTCAGCAGCCAGCTTCAGACGGCGGACATATTCCCCCTTCAGGTTGCCAGAGGTCCTGGCAACATGGAGAATCTCCGTCACGCTGCGTCCTGCTTCCGCTCTCAGACCCTGCACATCTCTAGCAGAGATGCCTTCTTTCCGGCTCTCAGAGGCCGACAAATCCCGAGCCGAACTCGAAAACGGCCTTCCCCGCCTTATCCGCCTTTCAGGCTTCTTCCGAAAAGCGCGCGCCTCAAGCGCGCGCTCAAACCTCCCGCTCTCTGGCCTCAGCCTCCATATTGCGCAATTTGTGCGCGCGCACGGGTCAAGGACCGTCCCCTCCCAGATCCAATGGGCCTCCCCCTTCGCGCCTTATTTTCCTTCGCGCGTACTCGCTCGTCGGTCTCCGTTTCCGAGCCTGTAGAGCCCGCTAACGGCGGACGCGCAGCCGTTCTCTTGCGCCCAATGGACGCATCTGTGTCCGCGCTGGCGTCTGAGTCAGCCATGACTCATTCGCCAACCGCACACACTCGCACACACACAAACGACGCGACAAATGTCGCCAAAAACAACAAAAATCCAAACCAAATCAAAAAATCCAAAAATCCGTGAGAAAAGCCAAAAGTCAAAACATGTAGTGCAAGAATCGAAGTCCAATAGTCAAAGCCTAGAAAACCAACCTTCCTTAACAATATGAAAAAAAAAAAGATTTTTATTTTCACGTTCCTTCAAAAAAAAAAAAGGAGCCCTAAATAGTAGTGTGCCCAATGGCCCCCGCATGACAGCAGGGCCATCGTAGCCCTTCTTATATTAGGAGTGTTGTTTGTTCGCGCTAATCTCACAAACTACTGGACGGATTTTCATATAGTTTTTACTAATAGATAGAGGGATAATCTAGAAAGGCTTAAACTTAAGATATATTTTTTGAAAATAACTTAACAGTATTATAAATCATATTTAAAATGACGAAGGTATCTATGTCATAAAAATATGTTAGAATCCATTAAGATACATAAGAAATAAACAAACATACATACACACACATATATAAGACAAATAGTGCTAATAGCCCCCATAAATGCAGACGAAGTCGTAAGATAAATGTAGTATAATATAAGATTTCCTTCTGCAAAGGTTGTCTTGCCCAACATATTACTTACATAAGAACATTCATTTGAATATTTTTTTTTTGTTATGCGTCATATGAAAACGGATCCGGCACTTCTTCTTAGGCCTTTGTGCGTTATTTTTGTGTAAACATATAAAGAGAATTAGGGCTGTAGGCATCTGTCTGTTTTAAACTAACAGAAATTGGTCAAGTGCGAGTCGGATTGAGACGTATGAACAACAACACAAAATTATTGTGTACCTAAAGTATTTATTTATACATAATTACTTTTTAACTAAAATAGTTTCTTTTTAATTTAGATCTGTACACATATGACTGATCCCACGGTTCACTGTGCTATTAATGGAGTACGAGGAGCAACCCGCATAGTACACTTCGCGCTTCCAATGTGTCGTTGGCTTCACGCCTGGCTGGATTGCCGGATGCTAATAAGACCAACACCTCTTGGGCGGTGGACCATATGAGTTTGACACATAAATGGGATATATGTACATATGTAGATGTGTTTTTATTACTTTTTGACGCTATAACGTCATACCGATTAGAATAATATTCATTTGTAAGATAAATACAGGCTTATTCATCGACGTATCTACCAAGTGAAGCTACTGGCTAAACTTGTACTAAATTTAAAGTTACACGAAGAATTAAGATTCCACATATAATAAATATATAATGATAAAACCACAGACTATAACTAGTCTAAACGAGGACATGTAAAACAATGTTTACACCTTGTATAATAAATGTTTTAAGAGAAAACTGTGTTACTCTGAACAAACTTACATAATTCGATGTTAAAACAAATATGTTAATTGATTCCATACAAACAGTTTAATGTTTATATTACGTACTAATATTTTAATTTATTTAAAGAGTATTTACTATTAATTTTAAGTTACATAAAATACAATTTTATCACCACTAGTGCTCGTCGTTCGTCGAAATTCCCTAAACTTGTAAATAGCAGCTAAAAAACTTTTTAAGAAAAAATAAAAACCGACTTCAAAAAAAAAACACTTCTTCTTCTCCCTGCCCAAAAAAACACTAAAAAAATAAAAAAATAACTGATTGGTAGTTTTCATTTACTATACATACCTAATCATAATATAAATCATATCATAATATCAATCATAAAATAAATAATATTTTCAAAGTAGATGCTAAATCAAAGCACACATATTTTTTTGGAAAATCTTATTGAAATAGTCATTGTCGATACAGAGGCCGAATCTATAGGTTTTAGAATTTTTGTATGTCTGTTTGCTGTCTGGCCACGCTTCACGAGAAACCCACTGGACAGATTTTGATGAAACTTGGTATGATGATAGCTGGTTATCCGGGTCAACATACAGGATACTGTTTACTGCGGTAAAACATCACATCTTTAAGAAATCTATACTAAACGTTAAAAAGTAACTAGAGACGAACCCGAGTGGAGCGGAGGTGGGTCGCTAGTCCTATACAATCAATTGTCTGTATGTAATGTGAAAATAACAACTTTTTAATAAATGCATATATGAAAATTATATACGGTGCTTACAAGAAAAACACAATTTTTACATTTTTGTTTGTCTGTCTGTCGGTCTGTTTGTTCCGACTAATCTCCGAAACGACTGGACCGATTTTAACGGGATTTTCACTGACAGATAGCTGGTGTTAATAGGAGTAACTTATACTTCTTACTACTCTATTACTACTACCTATAGAAAAAGAATATCTATTTTAGAAAAAAAAAAATAGGGTTCCGCTAAAAAAATTAAAACGTACGTAATCAAGCGAAGCAAGGCCAAGCCACCAGTTATACATAAAAACCTTAATTACAGAGAGAAGTGTTAATTGCATGTGATTTGCGAGCGAAACCGTAGATTATAAGGCGTCTAAATGAAAAGACGTAGAATATGTTTCAAATTCCACATCAATGAGTCATGGCCTCCACCTTACACCATAATAGGATGTTAAATATGGTTATTTTTAAAAATATAAGTATATTATTGGACTTTCGCTATAGATGTAATCTATACTAATATTATAAAGAGGTAAAGTTTGTTAGTTTGTGAGATTGTGAGTTTGTGACGTTGTAGGAGGTAATCTCTGGATCTACTAAACCGATTTAGATTAAATTTGGTTACAAGATAGTTTGAGACCCTAGGAAGGACATAGGACACTTTTTATCCCGGAAATCATTCCTTAAGGACGTGAAGATGGAGATGAAAGTTTGTATGGGGAATCAAGCTAAGGACGAACCCGTGCGAAACAAGGATGAGTCGATAGTATTGATATATTATAAAACAAAGTGCCTCAATCGCGTCTGTCTGAACGCGATAAACATTTATGTTTTAAGCTACCACAAACAGATTTTTATATAGGTTTTGCCAATAGATGGAGTGATTCATGTGGAAGGTTAATGGGGGATATTTTAAAAAATAAAACGAAAAAATCTACGAAACAAGATATCGATGCTCACTTCATATTTTTCGATTTTTAATATCGATATCTCGAAAACAAAGCGAGATATCGAATTTTATTCTTATTTTTCGTTTTTTTTTATATCTATAAGAATTTTCGTCAAATTACGGCGCCGCTTAATATGATGATGATTGTTGAAGATGTCGGAAAAATCCGACTGGAAGCTTTACTGTCGTGTGCGTACACCAATAGAGTGTAATATATGAAAACCATGTATTACAGAATTACTAGTACCTAAAGACGAGCGAGTGCAGCCAGGGCAAGGCGCTAGTTAATAAATATTTGTCAGTATGTACGTGTCTTCTCTTCACACTGTGCAGTAATCAAAGAAGTTGTCTAAAATTCGAAATGTTATATAGCTTATACCCTTCTTTAAAACGTAAGCCATTTGCTAATTGTATAAGTAAGTAATATAGCAAAAACTCGTGCACTCATGCGATCGAATTTAATTAAAATAATCCCTAATTATTGACACTTGTGGTCACCCTATTTTTTAAGAAGTTGCGTCACAGATATTCCTTATACGTATCATAAATTAACATCTTTTAAATTTAATTCTTAACATTTCATTTTAAAGTTCACTTTCCAATTAAACTTCTGCATCCGTGTTAAAAATCTCCCATTCACGATCTCAGTAGCTTACTTACATAAATAATTGGTGATTACAATAAATACCTTTTCCAAACATTTAAATTACAAAATCTAACACACTTTATAGCACATTAACATGAATATAGGTGACAAGATCGAGTCTGGCGTGTACGGTGGCATATTGTAGGGTCTTGGGTTCGAGTTCCAGACCGTGACTGAAATGGTTCAAGTCGTTACTACATCGTCAAAGAGAAAAATAGAGTTAAAAAGAGAAAAGTAGAGAGAAAAACGCACAAACATAACAATTGATTCCAATAATATATATGTTACGTATATATAATATTATATATAGTATGTCGACTAACATTCTTAAGTAAACGATTTTAATGTTAAAGCAATCCAAATATTTAAAACGCGGATGCAAAAGCTTCATTTAAAAGTGAGCTTTAATATAAAAAAGTTAAGAATTAAATTGAAAAAATTGTCGTTTATGATATAAGGAATATCTGTGACGCAACTTTTTAAAATGTATGGTGACCATGACCGTCAGTAATTCGGGGCCTAATTTTTTTTTAATTCTGACCCCCTTCTTTTTTAAATCAAAATATACTTTATTGGAATAGACTTTTACAAACACTTTTGAATCGTCAATTTTTCATTTTTAATTTATATTAAATGTGAGTACATATGTAAGTCCGTGAGAAGGTACCATCAGCTCAGAAGATAGTTCTGCTGAGAAGAGCCGGCGAGAAACTCAACAGTTGCTTTTTTTTGAATATCTATAAAAATAATTTACAATATATCAATCAACAATTATGTTCTTATGAATATTATATCTTATTCTTTAACCTTCTTTACTAATATTATTAATGCAATAGATTGTTTTAAGAAAAAAAACGGTATAGTAACTATAAAACCTCCTTTTTCATAACAATACCAACCTTAAAAAATAATGTAAATTGTTTCATGATTAAAATATACAACAGTATTGAGTTCTATCAAAACTAGGTCTGTTAGTTACATTTTAAAGGACTGATGGCTGAACATATGATAATAAAAATTGACTTGCAGGCTTGTTTTCACATTTTAAGATAATATGTTTTATAGTGTTATGTAGCTCATGTAACTTACATAGTTTGACAATATTTAACTTAATAGTTTCCAATTATACATTGTTCAACAATATATTATGTAAACAATAAATATCCAATTATTAAAAATCACAAAATTGATAAAATCAAACATGATGACAACTAATCATAAAAATCTCAAGCCGCTTCTGCCAATAAAACTTTTATCATAACAATATAGAATACA